GGAGGGGTCGCTATGAGTTGGGTCAGACTCGACAGCATATAACAACAACAATATTAATTTCTGATAAAACAGACTTCAAGGCAAAAACCAGCATAACGGACAAAGAAGAGCATTATATAATGATAAAAGGGTCAATTCAGCAAGAGAACATAACCATAATAAATATCTATGCACCCGATGAGAAAGTCTCAAAATACATAAAGCAAACATTAACAGAACTGAAAAGAGAAAGAGACAATTCTAAAATACTGGAAGGAGACTTTAATATGCCACAACCAATGAAGAACAGAACCAGAAAGAAACTTAACAAAGATACAGAAGATCTCAACAACACAATCAACCAATTTGACCTCTTAGACCTATACTGAACACTACATGCAACCAAAACACATGTTTTTTTCCAGTGCACATGAATCATTCTCCAGATTAGACCCTATGTAAGGCCACAAAGCAAGCCTCAGTAAATTTAAGACATCAATATACTACAAAGCAAATTCTCAGATTACAACACTATAAATTAGAAATCAATAATAGCAAGATCGGGAGAGAAAGTCAAATGTATAGAATTTCAATAACATCCTGTTGAGAAATTACTCAGTCACAGAAAGAATAAAATGTGAAATAAAAAAAAAAAAAAAAAAAAAAAAACCTAGAAGGAAACAAGAATAAAAACAAAATATATCAAAATCTTTGGGACAGTAAAAGCAGTACTTAGAGGTCAATTTATAGCAATAAATGCACACATCAAAAAATAAGAACCAAAGTCAAAATCTTAACCCAACAACCCCAACAATAAGAAAAAGAGCAACAAAAGAAGCTTAAAGTCTCCAGAAAAAAATAATTAAAATCAGAGCAGAATAAATGAAACAGAAAATAGAAAAAAAATCAACAAGAGTATAAGCTAGTTCTTTAAAAAGACTAACAAAATGGACAAACTACTTGCAAAGTTAACTAAGGAAAAGAAAGAGAAGATGCATGAATTAAAAAATGAAATAGGTGATGTCACAACAGAATCAAGTGAAATAAAAGTGGTAACATCAGAAAACGATAAAGAATTGTAATCCAACAAATTTGAAATCCTAGAAGAAATGAATAAATTTCTAGAAACACACTTTCTACCTAAATTGACACAGACTGAGGTATAAAAGTTAAACAGGTTCATAAAAAAAAGAAATCAAGCAGGTCCTTTAAAAAAAAAATTAAAAACTTGCATAAAAAAAGTCCTGGTGCAAATGACTTCACTGAAGAGTTATACCAAACATTCAGAGAAGCGCTGACACCAATCCTACTAAAATGATCCAGAATATAGAAATGGATTAATTCCTAATTAATCCATAAATTAATCCATAGTTTAAAGACATATAGTAGTTAAAGGTATGGGTCAACTTAGCTGGGCCATGGTTTTGAGTGGCTTGGCAGGTGGATATAGTTATTCCCCAGGATGAGATTGGATATGGCATAATCAACTCCATGGTAGAATCTGCTGTGAACAGCTAATTAGTTGCATTTGGAGTGTGGCCTGCTTCCAGCTTTGAGAAAGGTCTCTAGCTTTTTGGCACATTTGAATCTTGCATTTGACTGAGTCTTCATCTCCAGTTCCTGGACTTGAAGCAGTTGCCTGCCATTTTGTCTACTGATCTTGGGATTTGCCATTTTACCTGCTGACCTCAGGTTTGTCAGCCTCAGCAGCCATCAGGTGCACAAGTTAGAAGAAGCCTGTACCTCAGTGGGCCTGGAATAAGAGGCAGAGCTGAAGCCCAAGGTCAAAGGGCCCAGCCCCTAGAGCAGGCACTCTGAATTCAGACTTTTAGCCTTCTAAACTGTAAGAGAATAAATTCCTGTTAACAGCATCCACTTGTGGTATTCCTGTTACAGCAGCACTAGAGAACTAACACAACTCCCAAACTGATCTTATGAAGGAAGCATAACCCTGATACCAAAGCCAGGCAAAGATATCACTAAAAAAGTATTTAGCAGGACTAGTGTCAGCACTTCTCTGAATGTTTGGTATAACTCTTCAGTGAAGCCGTTTGCACGAGGACTTTTTTTCATATGAGTTTTTGTTTAGTTTTGTTTTTAATGACCTGCTTGATTTCTTCCTTTTTTTATGAGCCTGTTTAAATTTTATACCTCAGTCTATGTCAATTACAGACCAATATCCCTCATGAATATAAACATAAAGTCTTCAACAAAATCCTAGCCAATAAACTCCAACACTGTATTTAAAAAATAATATATCATGACCAAGTAAGAGTCATACCAGGTATGTAAAGATGGTTCAACATTAGAAAAACTGCGAACTACATAAATAAAGCAAAGGAAAAGAACTATATGATCATAATAATTGATGCAGAAAAGGCATACAATGAAATCCAACAATGATTTCTGGGTTTTTTTTTTTTTTTTTAATAAAAAGTAAAATACTATAAGCAAAATAAGAATAGAAGAGAAATTCCTCAGGACAATTAAGGGCATATATGTAAAACCAACTGTCAACATTATTCTTAATGAAGAGAGACTTAAGGCATTCTCCTTGCTAAGGGGAACCAGACAACGATGCCCTATATCACCACTCCTATTAAATATTGTATTGGAAGTCCTAGCCAAGGCAATAAGGCAAGAAAGAGTAATAAAAGACATCCAAATTAGTAGGGAATAATTAAAACTATCCCTATTTGTAGACGATATTATTCTATTTATAGCAAACCCCAGAGATTAAGTAAGAAAACTACTGGAACTAATTCAAAGATTCATCACAGTGGCAGGGTACAAGATTAGCATACAAAAATCAGGTGGATTCTTCTACATCAACACAGAGATCTCTGCAAAGGAAATAAGGAAAACAATACCATTTACAATAGCTACCAAAATGATAAAATACTTAGGAATAAAAATTACCAGAGACACAAAAGAACTATACAAAGAAAACTACAAAATACTACTATAAGAACCTAAAAGAGACCAACATTAATGGAAGAACATACCATGCTCATGGACAGAAAGACTGACTGACACTGTGCAAATGTGAACACTACCCAAAGCAATCTACTGATAGAATACAATCCAATCCAGATTCCATCAACATTCTTTAAGGACATGGAAAAACCAATCACTAGTTTTATGTGAAAAGTAGAGAGACCTCACAGAAGAAAAGCACTGCTAAAGAAGAGAGTAAAGTAGAAAGTCTCACACTTCCCAATTTCAAAACCTACAATGGTTGTCGAAAAAGGTGGTACTGATACAACGATAAACACATAGACCAGTGGAACAGAATTGAGAACCCAGATATAGATCTATCCATCTATGAATATCTGATCTTTGACAAAGGGTCAGAATCCATTAAATAGGAAAGAAAAAAAAAAAAAGAAAAACAGTCTCTTTAACAAATAGAGCTGGCAAAACTAGGTATCCATTTGCAGAAAAATGAAACAAAATCCACCTTTCACACCATATTAAAAAAAACTAACTCAAGATGGATCAAAGATCTAAATGTAAAATCTAAAATGATAAAGATCATCAAAGCAAAAATGGAAACAAACATAGGTGCCCTAATTTAGGCAGAAATAGATGATCATACACAAGCAAAAATGCACAAACATCAGAACTAGATGGTACCCAGCTGCTACTGCTAAAAGCTCTGAAAGGGATCACATAGGAGATCCTGGATGTAGTGAAAAGAAAAATTTGGAACAAAATACAAAATACTAAAAAGACCAGGTTTACTGGTGTCATAAAGACTGGTGCAATCCTCAAGACTATAGCCCTTAGTCACCCATCAAGCCTGGAACTGAACTCACTCTTGTGGGTCAACTTTCAGTCAAACAATAGACAGACCTATGAGGTGATAAATAACAGCAGGGAGGTATGCATTTGTGGTAGTTACGGTTACCTGTCAACTTGGCTAGGCCTGGGTTTGAGTGGCTGGGCAGCTGAAGGTAGTTACTCCCCATGATGAGACTGGTAATCAATTCAGTGGTGGAATCTACTGTGAACACCTGAGTAGCTGTATTAGACATGTGGTCTGCTTCCAGTATATAAGAGTCTTAGAGCTTTTTGGCATGCTTAGACCCCGTGTGGAGCCAAGCCTTCATTCAGCAGCCTGCTATGTTGTCTGCCAATATTGGGACTATTAATGGACTTGAACTAGTGGCCTGCCATGTTGTTTGATAATCTTGGAACTGTGCCGTTTTATTTGTCAACCTTGGGTTTGTCAGCAACCAATAGCTGCCTGAGATAAGAGAAATCCAGGTTCAGTGGGCTGGGAGCAAGAGGCAGAGCTGAAGCCCAAGGTCAAGGGGACTTCACCTAGACCCTAGAACTCAGACTTCTAGCCTGCAAAAGTGTAAAAGAATAAATCCTTGTTTGTCAAAGCCACCTATTTGTGGTATTTTCTGTTACAGCAGTACTAGTAAAACAAAACAGCCTTCCTTAGAACAATCAACTGTAAGAGATCAAGAAAGTAGCATTTGCCCAGGGATAAAGTTCAGAAGGCAGGAATGGATAGGAAAGGACAAAAAGAAACAGTAATCACAGGGAGGCAAGTGGAAAGAGGGCTTAATTGAGGGGATTGCAATCAATGTCATGAAACACAGTACGTATGAATGTTAAACGGAAAACCAATTTGCTCTGTAAACTTTCACCTAAATCACAATAAAAAGTTAAAAATGAAAAACAGCCTACAGGTATAGTTCTATTCTAATAACATATGAGGTGACCATGAGTCAAAACTGATACCTCAGCAACTGGTTGGTTGGTTTTTTTGGTTTTTTTTTGGGGGGGGGGGGCAGGGGAGGGTTAACCTTATAATAACAGAAGCCAATGGGGAAATGGTCAGTTTGATACTTACTGACTTCTAAAAATACTAATTCATTGTAAGCAGACATGTAAAAATAATAATAAAACACTTCTTTTAGATAATTAAATGTCTTAATTTCTTTGAAAATGTCAAGGAGAGATGTGTTAAAAAAATCATTTTACTTTAAAAGTAAAAGGGCACTCACCAGTTTACCCCATCAGCTTCAACCCAGGCAAAGCGGTACTCATTAACCCGCAGCATCAGCTGAAGACATCCAGCAACACACTGCACGTATTGAGAACTCTATGCAAGAAAAAGTGCAAGGCTTTAAAACCAGAAGGCATTTAAAGTCATGAGATCATATACAAATATTTCTATAAGAAAAGTCTGGGATTTTTTTATTACAGTTTGTTACAATCAGAGCACCCAAAATTCCCTAATACATATCAAAAGTCAATCCTCATTTTTGCTTTTCTCTACTTCCTAGAAACAAATGTGATTGTGTCTCCCATATTAAACCCACACAATTCAAAATTATTTCACACACGTAGTTAGGGAAATCAGGGAACAAAGAAATATCTTTGACATTGTTGGAAAAGCATATTGCCTTGCACAGCAAACTTCATTTACTCCTCAATAGAGCCACTATATCAAGAATACCATTCTACATAATTACAGAAATATAAAAGAACAAGATTAACAAAAAGAAGAACATATGCTTTGAAACAGGCCTATATTTGAATGACCTTAGACAAGTTACTAAAACTCTCCAACACTCCATTTCTTCATCTCTAATGAGGATGCCACCTCCAAGCACCTTGAACAGGTACTATAAAGATTAGGTGAAATAGTTCACATAGCATCCAGCAAGATGTACCACAGAAACCCAATAAACAGGAGCTTTTAAAAAAAAAAAAAATGAAATAACATACAAAAAGCCAAATAAAACATTTGAAAAAGAATGCTTGGGATTAAAAACACTGTTGATTCAATAGCACCATCTCACAGAAATTGTGATTAATATCTGAAACTTGCAGTAAACATGAATAACATCCCCCAAGATGTTGTAGGCCTCCCCATTTTGCCAAAGGTAGTAAGGCCTTCTGACATGGGCTCTCTTCTAAATATTTACAAAGAGATCAATAAGAAGAAGAGAGATAAGAGAAAACTGCAAATTCTAGCTTTACAAAGAACATGCTAAATTTTTAAAAATGTATAAAGGAAAAAATCATGGATGTTATGTAACTTCACAAAACCTAATATATATGATGTTACTAACTCTGTTTCTAATTTAAACAGCATTGTTAAAAACTTCAAAGAAATCTCAAGTGCTCAAACTTTAAAAGTACAATAACATAGGTACATTTACTGGAAGAGTCAAAAATCATCAAGAAAAGGTTATCTTAGGTTTTACTGTAGTGAAAATAGTTCTATAAAAGCACCATATATCCAGTAATGTAATTTGCCTGAAAGCTCAAAACATTAGCAAGAAATTAATGACCCACTCCCCAAAAAAATGTGTATTTTCAGCTGTAAAGTAATCTTTCATGATAGAAAAATATTTCACTTTTCCAATTGAATCAGCAGGTAGCAACCCTTTCTGAAAGAAGAATTCCACACTGCTTGTTTAGGAGAGAGCCTGAGCAAGGTTTCCAAACACAATGAATCAAAGGCAACCAAGGGTACCCTCTCCTCTTCCAGTTATCTTCAGGGTCCTCTCAATGCAAAACAATTTTTGGTTCATTCTAAGTCTTCCTTTTCTGCATCCATTAAACCAGAATATGTTAAATACATGACACATTTCAAATATGGATTCTTTGCTGTTGTTTATAGATTCAGTTTTCACATTAAAATAAAAACATAAACAGTGATGGTCTTAAAACTGGCAGTACAGACAGTCCCAGGGTTATGAACAAGATCCACTCATAAGTGTGTCTTTAAGTCAAATTTGCAAGTAAGTCAGAAAAGGTGCATACAGTTCTTATTTGTCCTTACTCTCGTGCAAGAAAAAGGACCTCTGGTAGCATACTGCTTAATGTATTCAACTACTAACCAAAAGGCCAGCAGTTCAAATCCATCAGCTGTTTCACAGGAAAAAGATGAAGCACTTTGCTTTCCTAAGATTTATAACATTAGAAACCCTATGGAGCACTTCTACTCTGTCCTATAGGGTTGCTATGAGTCAGAGTTGACTCGATGGCAATGAGTGGGTGGGTTAGTACAAGAAAAGGCTCAAAGTCTTTTCAAAGACTTAAAACCTGTGTGTGTAGCAAGTGAAGATGATTCTGATGAAGAATTTATTGTGAGTACGGGTTGACTCAGGAGCTCTGGTAGCATAGTGCCTAAGGCACTTGACTGCTAACCAGAAGGCTGGTGGTTCAAACCCCCAGCTACTCCTTGGAAG